TGTCACTGTAACAACTTGTTGTTATAGCCGTGAACACACGGGATCATATTCCTGAAGACTGGCGGCTTTTATTTCATAACAGCCCACAATTTAGTACATCATTACCCACAACTTTTGTGTCATCAGACCTGGAAATCCCTTTTCCCTTTTCCCAGTAACATTATAGTAAGACTATAGTCTGTCTCGGCCTCTGAAAGTAGTTTAAATGTCCTCTGTGTCTATAGAGGAACTTTGACTTGCATTCTAACATGTTATATGACGATGACAACCTGAGGATGTGGAGCATCATGTGTGACTCTCTTCTCTCTATTCCCTCCTCCTTCCCTTTCCTCCAGGTTCAAGGCGCCTCGGTATAGATGGGGATGTTTGGGTATCGTATGGTGCATTTACATCATCATGACTTCCTTTGCTATTGTTGAGCGCTCTGCCATCATAATGTTCATGCTGTTCCTCCCCATTCTCATCGTAGACACCTTCTGCAGCCTGTCTATTCTCAACGCATTGAAAAGGCCTCCGCCAGGGGACAGGGGGGTAATGGGGAGGCAGAAGGAAGGGGAGGAGGAGGGAGAGACTGGCCAAAATGGGTCGAGTGGAGTAGGGAAGATGGAGGATGGGAAAAAAGAGCAGAGCAGAATGAAAGAAGGAGGGAGCAAGGAAGAAGGGAAGAAAGTTGGAAGGAGAGAGCCGTGTGGAACAGGGGTGATGAATTCCATGAAGAAGAAAGCCTTCGTCACCATTGCCATCATCCAGGCTGTCCTCGCTCTCAACTACCTCCCCTTCATCCTCACCTGGCTCATGGGTGGACGAGTTCCAGCCCGTACCCTGACGTGTCAGTACGTGGCCTTGTCTTTAGCCGCTGCATACAGCTGCAGCTACCTGCAGCCTCTGCTCTACCTGCACAGACTGGGCCGGCTGCCGTGCATGATGTCACAAAACCCCTAGTTCAATATCACAACCAGGGTTAGGTGGATTTTTTTGTAGTGATTTAATTCCCATCTTTGCTTTATAGAAGGAGGAACAACTACGCTTATAATGAAAATGTCTGACTTCACCTATTAAATTTGACTTTGTCTTTGTTTGTTCTTTAAATGGTATTTGTTTAACTCTCTGATTAAAAATGTCTCGTTCCATTAACATGGTTTGAGATGGCCTGCATTGTAGTTCATGCTGTTATTATGATTAAAGTCTGATTGTGGTAAATGATGGTGGAGCTAGGTGGGACAAACATTGCTGCTATATGTGAATTATAATTATAACATGTATTATTATTAGTAGAAGTAGTATGTATTTAATTTATTTATTCATCTTCTTCCTGTTTTTTCTGTCATATTGTTTTCTTTTCTGTTTCCGATGTCTTTCTTCTGTGTGATCTCTTTTGAAAAGCAATAAAAGTTAATTATCAAAATAATCTATTTACAACTTGCTTTGTGTACAGCTGAGTCTACATGCTATAAACAGTCTACGGAAAAATCAAAACACAAACACAGTAAGCTACCTGATCCTTTCCTTCAAATCTAGATGCAGGGACACATTATAAACACCACCTATACGGAAACACACCAATCATTTAACACTATATGTTTGAATTAAAAGTTACTATCTCAACTTCTACAAATGCACAGTGCAGCTGGATCCTTGTAATTGTGTGAAATGTAAATTTTCAGAACATGCTGCCGCGTTCTGTTTTGTGTCCGTCACAGTATGCAAAGTCCCAGACTGCATGCTCACTATGGGATGCTAATGGGTGGTGACATGAAAATGATGCCACATGAACTCTGAACACGTTTATTTTGACAACTTTCCATACAGCAAGGCAGGTTCCCCTCAGAGAGTTTGCCTATTATGCTATAACTCGCTAAATATTTGGATGGATATGATGACCAAGCAGGTGGAGTCATTTATCTCCAAGTGGAGATTATTAATAAAGAAGACATTAGAAAATGGAAAATTCAAATAAATACACTGTGTAGAGCATATAAATAAATAAATAAAAAGAAAGATTACAAAATAAAATGTGACATCATTGGGGAAAAGGCAAAAATGAAATTGATACAGACTTTTGAAAAGGGGCATTGTGAAATAAAAATGTCTATAATGAAATACAAAAAATGCTATACCCAGTTACTATGAAAATAACAACAATGATACAACATATATAATTTCAGAATAATTTTGAATAATTTCTTACTTTATGTCACAATTTATTGGTTGGTTTATACATTTGTTTTACACAATATATTCAGATGATGTTACTTTGATAATGTGCTCTTTGTGAACACTTTCGGGCTCCATACTAGTGATTTATACTCACATTATTTGCACAAGAGAAGCTTATCTATCAATAAAATATAAAATGATCATGGTTGACAAAACGTTGCGTGACGTTCTTGAACGCACCCCTAACAGCTCTTGAATTCGCAAAGCATTGTGGGATTGGATGCTGGTGGAAAGCTTCTCGAAGGAACTGCAAAGATGATGGTGAGTGACCTAGCATTCATGCCCAAACTCAAATGTATAATCCGTGTCCATCCTTCAGTCTGTCTGCGGGAATCTGCATCCGGACTATTCGCGATTTAGACGATTCCCATTCGGCGTTCTTTGGAAGCGATTATTTTTGTGAAAATGATTTTTAAACCCGTTTTATTTGTAGCATCACCGTTAGCCTCGTAGGGGGAACCAACATCAATGGGCGTCAACAATGCTAACGGTGATGCTAGCTAGGCTCTTTGTAAGAGTGGCTGCGTAGGACAGATGTATATTTAGTAAATATAATAAGGTTTTATGGCATGTAGCCTGCTACAATGAACGGTAACATTAGCCGACTGTAAACAGACATCCGGTTTTTGACAGTCACGCAGCATGTCTGATGAGAAACAAAAGCATCCTTAAAGCTACAGTACCAGCCACAGCCTCTGTTTTCTTATAGCCTTCTTATAGCCTTACATGGTAAAGTAATAAGACTTAAAGACTGAGTTTGTACTGTAGTGGAGTGATGTGGCTCACTTTAATATCGTAATAAATAGTTTTATAGATTTAGTGGTATAATAATAATGCATAATATAATAATGCTGCACACTTTTTACACTAGTATTAAAATGTATTTGGATAGGTTTTTTTTTATTACTGTTTGCTTTATCTGGACAACAGAATATTTAGACACAATGATCAGACTATTATCACAATAATTTAGTGAAACATGATGAACAGTAACTTTGAGCTATAGTATTATAAATGAAAACTACATTACCTATTCTCAGATTTAAGCATCTTTTTGGCATTTTTATTGGAACTGAACTGTGTCACAGTGATGGTTTCTATTGTTAGCACTGATATATTGTGTAATATTCCAAAAAAAGCAAATGTGTGCTAGCAGTATTCACATTTTTAGATAACTAGAGGAAGTACTACTTCAGTATACTGATTCCCTAATTTTCCTTCCTTCATTTACTGTATTTTTCTCTTCGTCTTTTCTTCTGTTAACCTCCTCTTCCTTCTCCTCTCTTTCCGTCTCTCTAGAACGCACAGGTGATCCTGCTGAAGGAAGGGACAGACTCGTCTCAGGGTGTTCCCCAGCTCGTCAGTAACATCAATGCCTGCCAGGTCAGAAAATACAAACTTTCCTCTTGGTTGTGTGTTTTTTTTTTCTTCTCTGTTTCCCAAAATATGCTCTAAAGCACCTGTTGGTTTGTCTTCTCCAGGTGATCGCCGAGGCGGTCAGGACCACCCTTGGGCCCAGGGGGATGGACAAACTGATGGTGGATGGCAGAGGTGAGGAGAGAGGTGTAGACACGGATGGAAGGATCGGAGTACGGGTTGAATTCACCCTCACCAGAAAAATGTGTGACTGATTGTGTTTTTCCAGGTAAGGCCACGATCTCCAATGATGGAGCCACCATCCTGAAACTGCTGGATGTGATTCACCCTGCAGCCAAGACCCTGGTGGACATCGCTCGCTCCCAGGACGCTGAGGTGAGAAGTGTGTTTTTTAAAGGTTTATGGCCTTATGAAAATTGAAAGGTTGTCGATTCCATTTTCTCCCAGACAATACGTTTTCATAATCTTCTTGATCCCGGTTTACAATCCTCAGGTCGGCGACGGCACCACCTCCGTCACTCTCCTGGCTGCGGAGTTCTTGAAGCAGCTTAAGTCGTACGTGGAGGACGGCCTCCACCCCCAGACCATCATCAGAGCGTTCCGCACTGCCACCCACCTCGCTGTCAGCAAGATCAAGGAGATCGCCGTCTCTGTGAAGAAAGACGACAGGCAGTAAGCACTCAATTTTCACCGTAACAAGTTCTTTACATGGCAGAGAGTGTTTGATCTGTCCTATGAGTAATATTGTATCCTTGGGTCCCCTCCTCTATCCCCTCAGAGAGCAGAGGCAGTTGCTGGAGAAGTGTGCCGTCACAGCCCTGAACTCCAAGCTAATTGCCGGTCAGAAGGAGTTCTTCTCCAAAATGGTGGTGGACGCTGTCATGTCTCTGGACGAGCAGCTGTCTCTGAAGATGATTGGCATCAAGAAGGTCCAGGGAGGAGCCCTTGAGGTTTGTTTCTTTTACTCTCATTTAAACAAAACTTTTCCTGAAAGTGTTAAAACACAATTTTTTATTTTTTTTTTAAATCCACCCACGTCACACTTTCTTTATTCAAATTTCACAGGAGTCCCATTTGGTCGACGGGGTTGCATTCAAGAAGACCTTCTCCTACGCCGGGTTCGAGATGCAGCCGAAACGCTACGACAATCCAAAGATTGCGCTGCTCAACGTGGAGCTGGAGCTGAAGGCCGAGAAGGATAACGCTGAGGTCCGCGTGAACTGTGTAGAGGTATGAAGACCACGGCATCGGGATGGGAAATAAGTTCCCGGGCATGTTGTAAAATTCATCCCTCATCCTCGCTCCCAGTAATTTAACTCTCTTTCCCATTTTCTGCAGGACTACCAGGCCATTGTGGACGCCGAGTGGAACATCTTGTACGACAAGCTGGATAAGATCCATAAGTCAGGAGCCAAGGTGGTTCTGTCCAAGTTGCCCATCGGTGACGTGGCCACCCAGTACTTCGCTGACAGAGACCTGTTCTGTGCTGGCAGGGTGCAGGAGGAGGATCTGAAGAGGACCATGATGGTAGGACACAGAGACAGACACTGAATACATCGCACCTTTTACACTAAAAGAATGAAGATGGATGACTAGAATACCTGCCAGACTTTCAGTGAATGTTTGCTTTATAGTTATGCTTTCAGCTGTTTATCTAATGTTAAAATTCCCTTGAACGAGACTGATTGTGTGTAATGTGACTTCCAGGCCTGCGGTGGCTCCATCCAGACCACAGTGAGTTCCCTGACAGACAACGTCCTGGGACAGTGTGAACTCTTCGAGGAGGTCCAGGTTGGAGGAGAGAGGTAAGGACGACGTGTTAAATATTGTATGTAAACATTGCGTGCACAAGGATTCTCTACGACGGCTCACACCCGTCCCGTCTGTGTCTGCAGGTATAACTTCTTCAAGGGCTGTCCGAAGGCGAAGACGTGCACCATCATCCTGAGGGGCGGAGCCGAGCAGTTCACGGAGGAGACGGAGCGATCTCTGCACGACGCCATCATGATCGTACGCAGAGCCATCAAGGTCAGTCGTCGCCTGGAGGCTCATTACGTGTCACCATCAGGAGTTTACGATAACATTTATTTATTTACAGCCCTGTGTTGCTGTAAATTACTTTTTATAACCACAGTTCACAGCAGACTTTTTGACTTCTTAAAGCAGGAAAAGCACAAATTTATTTAATAACTCTAATGATGGCTGCATTCCACTTAGGGAAGGTCCTGGTATTGTGTATGCTGACTCACTGGAGTAACCTAGTGTGACACTTAATGGAACTGAGCCATTGTTATTGTCACCTGTGCTTTTCCTTCTACGACGTGTCAAATTGTCTGTCGTGAAAAAGGTCTATTCGATCCAGAACCTCCACTGTGTTTGATTTGTCTGCCCACTGACGGCAATAAGCCGACTGTACTTGACCCTTTTCCAGAATGACTCCATTGTGGCGGGTGGAGGAGCCATAGAGATGGAGCTGTCCAAGTACCTGCGGGATTATTCCAGGACCATCCCCGGGAAACAGCAGCTGCTGATCGGAGTGTACGCCAAGGCCCTGGAGATCATCCCCCGACAGCTGTGTGACAATGCCGGCTTTGACGCCACCAACATCCTGAATAAGCTGCGCGCCAAACACGCACAGGTTGGGAGATGAAACGCACATGACCTAATCCTACTCTGTTTTTAGAAGTGGAGCGGGGAAATGTATAATTTGTGTGCTTCCGTCTGTCATCTCCCTGCAGGGCGGTATGTGGTACGGCGTGGATATCAACAATGAGGACATCGCGGACAACTTCGCCGCCTGCGTGTGGGAGCCGTCCATCGTGAGGATCAACGCTCTGACGGCGGCGTCCGAGGCCGCCTGCCTCATCCTGTCGGTGGACGAGACGATCAAGAACCCGCGCAGCAGCATGGACGGACCTCCCGGAGGAGGCCGAGGCAGAGGCCGCGGGAGACCCCACGCTCACTAAGAGACGCACGAGCAGAACCTCATTTTGAACTGGCATTAAAACCCAAATGCAGATAGAGGAGTTTGTCTTCGGCACAGTTTAGGTTACATTTACACATAGATGCAAAGATGGTGTTGAATGTAGCTCGGCATGTTTGACCTGCATATGGATTTGAATTCTAGATAAAATTGGGTGACGTAAACAGTCAGACACATTGCAAATGGCAAGTAGAGTGAAACAGATAGAAGGGGGAAATGAGACTTGGTCAAAGGTGGCAGACATTTCTTGTGTTTTCTTTGTCACTTATGTTTTTCTTACTTAAACAGACCTTATCAAGTGAAAGCTTAACATTTCAAGACTTGCATCTTTATATGTGTCGCCAATTTACTGAGAAATGATATTGAAATACAAGAACAGAACTAGTCCCCTCTCTGGTTTTGAACTAAACGCACTCCTGTACCCTCCGAGTTCGCTGCTCTTCTCTGACCTGAAGCAGCTGTTCCATCATTTCTGATCTGGTTTTGTGTTATGTGACAAACTGATGTGTAACATGGGAAGTAAAGCACTGATAGGATGTCGAGCCGTTCGTACCATTCATTGTTTTGGCTGTGTGAAACTATTTATTGCACCATTATCAATAAATTCACAGCTGAAATCACACTGTTGACTGTTTACGTGTGTTATTTTAAACATCTGGTTGAGGATGGAGACCATGGAGGATGGGAAAATGGTACAAGAGTTTTTATTTTAATGTAAAATATAAGGCCGTGGATTGTGAAATTAGAATAATGTAAGGATGATGCTTAGTTGTATCACTTTTCAACCTGCACAGTTCAGAAGAAGCGAGGTTGGGTCAGCATGATGAACATGATCCAGTGGCTAATAATCTAACATGAATACAGTTTATTACAGCATACACAACATACAAAGACCGGCTTTAAATGGAACACAACAGGATGTCTTAAGGTGGGAAAGTTAAAGCCCCTGCAGGAGTTAAGAATAACAAAAATAAAGACTAGTTAGACAAAGTATAACTAAAGCTCTACTTTTTCACCCCTTTTAAATGCATTTAGCCCGTCTTCTTTAGTTGATAGTTTACTTGGTTGTAATGAACTTCAGTCACGTTTTAACATGTGATAACATCTAGTGAAGACAACTGAGCCATCTCCATAATACCTGAGCCCACTCCATCGGCTGAGAAAGACACAGATGTGGTTGAAAGCAACGGGACAGGCTATTAAGTGTACTCCCATTACTGTAGGTGTATAATGAAGTATAATCTGTAAAAAATAGCTTGTCATACATGATGCTCTTACCCTGATTTGCAATGAAAAAAAACTTCTCCCGAAGTGTGAAACACCAAACTCTACACCTGAATGGTGACGTACTTTATGATAAACATGTATATTCTGCGATAATGCCTCAGTCCTTCCCAATGAAGGAACCGTAGGGGTGTTTCCTGCATGCTGAGAACTTTGAACTGCCCAAAGGACCTACAGCTTGTAGTTCAGTCTTTTCGCCACTAGGTCGAGCACAACCATAGTCCCAATGAAGAAACAAAGCTGCAGTCAATGTAGTTGTATTAATATCTGTATAATGGAGAGTGAAATAGGATTTAAATGAGGTATCAGACCACAACTTTTGACATATCCCTGTATGATTCATTATATGAGGGGGAAAGGCAGCAGTCTTCATATTTAACATATAAGATGAGTGAGTCTCACTCTAGGTAGTTTAATGCAATAGAAATACACCTTGGACAGGTTGAATTATTAGAAGGTATGTGATCGTTGCAGCAGGGATGTGCACTCAGCCACCTGCCGGCATTCGCTTTTACAGAGTTCATACAAGTGTTCCTCTGGATAATTTCTGGGCAGGAAATGCCTGTGACACTGAATTCATGTCTTCATTTCTTGGACGTAGAGGGCGACCTTCAGTTGAGGAGATGCTGACAAGTGTTTTTTAAAGGAGGATGTGCTTTTGAAGGTTGGAGAGTTTTTAAAAAGTTCCCCTCATGATCTTTTTCTCTAGTCTAATGAATAAACATGAAGCATAAATGTCTGATTTACAGGATGTGAGTTTCTTCTTAGAACGCAAAGCCGACGCCCAAAGTACCGCTTTTTTTTTTTCTACAGTCATCATCCCTAGAATCAGTGTTTTCCAATCCTCGTCTCTACTTCCTGCTCCTCCTCAGTTAGACAGGAAGTCTATGGAAGCCCGGACGGTGCGGTTAGACATGACGTCTACGGCTGTGACTTTGATCTCCGTGTCTCCAAACTGCATGGTGGCCTTGATCTCTCTCCTCTCTGGGCCTGCTCCTCCCCCTGCTCCGCCCACTGCTCCCGGTAGCGGTAACGGTTCCGGTAGGTCCAAAGTTATCGTCCCGCACTTCCTGACCCCGGGGTCGGTGATGTAGGCGACGTCCTCCGTCGAGCTGCAGTAGATGTTTATGATGATCTTCCGCTGGCCCAGGCGAGCGGGCGTGTAGCTCCGCCTCACGACCTCGCCCAGAGCCACCGACTGGTCGACGCAGACGAAGCGGTCGAGGATGTCAGTGCACCACTCGCGGCCCTCCTTGATGAGGAGTTTGTCGCGGGGGTGGCGCCCCTCCACGAACCGGTTCAAGACGCCGACGCCGTAGATCAGGGGGCATCGACGCACTCGGACCTGCGAGAGAGAAGGCTGTTAAAGGAAAAAGGTGTGAAAGAGCTGCACTGTTACCAACGGGCGATCCTGAGAACCCACCACGGTGGGATCCAGCCCGAAGAGCACGGCGCCCTTCAGTATGGTCAGCCCAACGTCATGGGGGATGATGATGCGACACGCCTGCCCCAGAGCTCTCTGGACTGCTTTCTGCAGCATGGGCGACTCCGCAAAACCGCCGACCAGGAAGAGGAAACGCACACCGCGCACCTCCGGCTTTGCCATCAGCTCCTCTGTGAGGGGAGGTAAAAGATCTTTAATTTCAGACATCCATGCACTCTTTGTCCCATGACCCAAGTTGTCATCCTTGTGAGGTTTGGGCAGTTCGGGAGAGTCTGTAAGTTAAAGCTGCGCTAGTCTGCACAAGTGTCTCTGTGTGTGTCTCACCAATGTGTTTGACGATATTGACGATGGTGGGCTGGAAGAGCTCGTTCATGGCTTCCTGTGTCAGCCGCAGCATCCCCTGGGACGACCACTTCACTATGTTCATACTGACACACACACACACGGAGGAGAGAGTTTGCATCTTTAGTGTTACACACACACTAAATCAATCCATTAGTTAATCGGACTGCTCACACACTCACTTGCTCCTCCTCAGGGCGGCCTCCACACTCTGCCCCCTCTGTCTCTTGTAGAAGTCGATGAAAGAGAAGGGAAGGGAGATGTTGAGGGCGTTGGCCCTGCCCGGCGCCGCCGTCCGTTTCCTCGCTTCGAACGCGATGGTGAGGTCCACCCAGGCTGCCGGCCGCTTGGCTTTGAAGCTCTGGATGAAGTCCTCGCCGAAGATCTGGCACAGCATGGCTTCGAAGGCCAGGTCTACTCCGATGGCACCGTACGGACCGCCTGGAAGAAAAACTCCCATTTGGAAACCGCGGGGGGGGGGTTATTTTTATGTGTTTTGGCAGATTGTGTGAATGGTTGTACCTGAGGCCTTGTAGAGCTCTTTGAGTGTTCCCTGTGGCTGCTCGATTTGATGGACTGTCAGGTCAACCGTTCCTCCTCCGCAGTCAGCAACAATATACCTGTCACCTACACAAAGAGTGCACGAACACGCACGATTCAATACCTTCAGTGTCCTGGGAACGCCAAGCATTTAAATAAATTCTGTTAAAACTGGCTTGATTTCCGGGACAGGAAATATTTTACACTGTAGGAACACTCTGTTTCTCCTCAATTTGTAGGAGGAAATTGTGGATTGTGGATAACGTGTCTTCATTTTTGTGGAATGTCTAAATGTCATGTTTCCAGTGCGTGTGTGTGTGTGTGTGTGTGTGTGTGTGTGTGTGTTTCCCCTGAAACTCTTCAACCAGCAGACCCCGAAACATAAACAGTCTACAGACATCTGTGATTGCTGCGCTCCCTCTGCTAGTGCGCGTGTTTGTGATCCGTAAAGCGATCAGAGCCGGTTTTGGCTTAGTTACTCTGACTTTAGCTGACCACACCCTAAAGCGCGTGTCAGTGAGTGAGAGAGCAAGACAGTGAACAAGCAACAAGCACGAAAAATGTAGGAGGAGGGCGGACTCTCCCTGTCTGGGGAGAGTCCCATGGGCTGGGTCTTTCATATGTGTGCGTGTGTTTGTGTGTGTGTGTGTGGACAGGAAAGGGTTCAGAAAGGGTCAGCAAGGGGCGCGTGGCTCCTTAGATTGTTGTCACGGCTCAACAGTGTGTAAAACCACAGATATGGGTGAGTTTAATTGTGCCTGGGTAGGATTTTATCATGTCAGGCAAAACTGGACACTGTGGGTTGTAAAAAAAAACCTAAAAAAAATAAAAAATAACTTATTTTATTGCGACCCTGTTCTTGTATAATTATGAGTTTATTCTTGCAACATTTAGACTTTATTTCTCTCAAAATATAAGGAATTTATCCTCACAATAGTGCAAATATAAAGGCAACCGCACTGGACTGGAAAAGCACACATGCAGTAAATAAAACTGAGGGTTAGTAGAAATGAGAGAGTAGGTGTGTCTGCTGCTAAAAGTCAACCGGCTGGGGTTAAAAGTCAAAGCCATCAATATCTCCGACATGTGGGGTCTGTATGTCCCTCTCAAAAACACACACACGCACACGCACACGCACACGCACACACACACACACACACACAGTCTTACCAGTCTGCAGCTCAGACCACAGCTCTCCAGTTCCGCTCTCCACCAGGAAGGTCCTGCTGTGTCTGGATCGCCTCAACTGCTCCCTCGCTGCAACAAGCGAACACAAAGCTGAACACACACACACACAGGTACACTATACGTGCCTAAGTTTTTAATACACACATTTGAAATAGCTTAGGTCATTAAATCAGATCAAAAAGTCACAGCGAGGCAAAAGATAACGGTTGAACGTCGTTTTCAGCAAAAGAGCTTTAAAAGCCCATGTGATGCTCTGCAGTTCTCCAGTTCTTCAGGGGCATAGCAAGGATTTCTGGGTCCCAGGAGCACAAGCAGGAGTTCTTGTGCCCCTGAAATATTGCTCTGGGCCCCTCTTTTCTTAATATAAACAATTCAACAAGAATGTATATGGACTCTCTCTCCAGCTGTGGGCCCCAAGAGGCATCGTCACCTTTCACCACCTTGCACCGCTTGTAACGTTTTTTTTGTCTTTTCTATGAAAACATATCGGCGCAGCTTGTGTTACACTAATGCTCAATGCATTCTGGCTCAAGCAAAAACAACCCAATAAATGTTTTGTAATTTAATTCCATAAGTTCCATAAGTCACGAGGCCATAGCATTTACTCAATGAATAGCATAAAGTCTTTGGATCCAAGTAAAACAGGAAATGTTTTCACATGACAGAAGCAATTTGTTGGAAATGCTCTCACTTTTTTTCTTCGCTCTCGACATGTAAACTGCCCGACTGGCAGGTTAAGAGTATGGATGGATGGAGGCCAATGAAAGCAGGACACACTCTTAACACAGCTGACAGAAATACAAAACACCTGACAGCCTGTTTGACAGAGCAGATACACGCATAGGCCTTCATGCATGCACATAAACCATGAAATGAGACATGAGGGCTTTTAAGATGACAATTAACTGCAGATCAAAGGAACGAAAGAAAAAAAAGGTCATATTTCTCCGTCTTTGGCTTTTAATAACACAAACTCTTTGACAGGGTTATGGCAAAGCTTGGGTCCTGATGTAATTGTATGTGTGTTGTAATAGGTTTGGAGTGAAACTCTTTGAATAATTTAGGTTCAAGTGGTTTTTACCAAGTTCCCTCAAACCCCATGAGTGCTACACACCACGATAATTAGAAAGAAAGAGCAATTATTGAGCAACAACGACTACATTGTCTTGAAAGCAAACACTCTTGCAGTTGTTAAGGCTCTGGATGACGCACGAGGTAATGCATGTATGTGTGTGTGTGTGTGTGTGTGTGTGTGTGTGTCTTTGTATGGGGTTGATGAATGAAATGCAAGTCTGGAAACCATTTTCATGAAACAGCAGAAAAGAAAATGCATGTGTGTGTCCGTGTGTGTGAGTTAATGACTCCCCTGTGCTATCTTTGGAGACGAAATGAGGTGGAATAGAAGCTAAAGATAGAAAAAACCATGACGACCGTGATGCCAAGTGTGTGTGTGTGTGTGTGTTTGTGTGTGTGGAAATACTGTCCGTCTGTGTCTGCGGAGTCCTTGCAAAGTGTGCGACCCGGCAGAAAGAAAGTCGGAGGGGGAGGGAATGTGAAAAAGACAAATGAATGCGAGTGAAGGAGAGGGAGAATGACAGGCCGGGGGGGAAGTGAGATCATGAGTCTCCCTGCACCTTGTTCCAATTACAATATCCTGTGGCTAGTGTGTGTTGTTGTGTGTGTGTGTGTGTGTGTGTGTGTGTGTGTGTGTGTGTGTGTGT